TATATGTATATTGTCTGTATAGAACTAAAAATCATATGCCACAATCTTGGAGAAAACGAATAAAATCATGAATGAATTTATTTACTTATTTATCTATCCTGTCTATATAGAACTAACATAATATGCTCCAAAATAATTTGTGGAATCCTTATTACAAATCAAGTTAAATCACTAGCCATTTTGATATTTAAAATAAAGATTTGCAATGCCATACCAGATCTAATCTGAAGTGAATTGCTAAATTTAACATGAGTTTGAACATAGTGTACAACTGATGTTGGTTCTGTTCACTTGGTTCAAATGGCATGTCAGTCACTTTCCTAGAAAATTCTGTCTTTCTCTTGCACAGCAGAATATAGTTTGCTAATTTTACAGATAAACCAAACAGTCGTTTATCTTGTTGACTTCTGCAAAGAAAGCTGAGAATTTTTCGTTCCTGATTTTTTTTCCTCTCATGAACTTTGAGAAATTATGGAGAATGAATGAAAGAATTTTGAAGGCTTATTCTTCCAAAATCTGAGGAAGACGATAATACTTAACATTTTTTAAAATACTGTCACAAAGCCTACTCTCTATCATCCGATAGGGCACGACACAAAATAATAGGTGGCAGATTCCATTTGAACAATTCAATAATCTAATTAGAGATTGTTATTGTCACGGGATTCATTGAGTGGGGAGCCATCTATCAGAAATGTTTTAATTGGATTGCTGCAGTGATCTTCTTTCAATTTGTTTTCTATGCCACACATTTCTCCATTTCATTTATATTTTCCCCTCTGTATACTATTTAAATAAACCATATGACTCCTTAGACTTTAGGTCATTGCACCTGCACCTCAGTGTAGCATTAGTTCTTTAAAATACTTCCCCATACTCCCAATATTTAACTGTGCCCCTAAAAAAGCTTTATTCAATTATAGGCAAAGCTGGAGAAAACAAATTTCTGCTGCAATCAACTCTCATGTTGCCTGAACTGATTTCAAAGGATCGTTTTTCACTGCCAAGAAAGCACCCTTATGGGCAAAATTGCATCCTAGCCAAAGCTGTTTCCTGGTACTTATGATGGATTATAATCCTACTTATGTAGGGCAGCATGAAATTTTTTTTCATTAAATCTTATAGGAATGCCTTTATAACTTTGCTGCTATAAATATGCTTATTATGTCTTAAACTATCTGGGACTTGCTCTCCTCACAGCAACTTCTATTAACAAAATATACTACATTTTATAGTTTAGTAAGGGAAAATTGTTTACATTTCCTTTAACACAACGATATAATATAAGACCATCACATGAGGTGCTCATGAGGCTTAATAATTTTGCCTGTTTCTTTCAAATGTCCTTAGCTTATTTATTGGACATCATAGCCTCGCTTAATAGTTTAAAATGTATAATGAACAAGATGGCTACTATTTCCAAGCAGCTGTTCTGAGACATTTATATATAAACAGTATGAAATTTGAACCTTAGTCAAATGTTCTATAATCCAAGTGCCAAAATATATCATGTTACAGTGCAAAACACTATTTATTTTTTTCTACAAATCAATCATTAACTTCCATAAAGTTTTATTTTTGCATCTTAGACATTCTATACCAGATAATTTGAATATATATAGCCAATTTCTTGAGATTAGATATTCAACTCTGTCACAGGGCAGTAAGCTAGCAACAGTGACCAACTGGTTTACATCATCTGCATTTAATATGCCTGTTTGCCATTTTTGGAGGAGCGGGATCTTGTCAATCACACTTCATAAACCCTTTAAATCAAGAGTGTCAAATGGTGTGTTGTGATTAATTTTGGAAGGTTCCCTTTGGAGGATTTGCACAGATAAAGCTGGAGCTGGATACCACGTTCTTGGTCTACTGAACAAGTCAGTCATGTGTTCTGTTCACATACTGATTCTTTTGATTATTGTAGGCCCTGTATTTTCAAGATCTATCAAGCCTGCTACTATTTCACTCACCTCAACCACCTTTTCTTCCCCTACTTCCCTTTTTTATCCTCTTCTCATTATAGGCTCCAGGTTCTGACAGCGTTAGATGTCTCAGGTTGCTCTTACTTTTTCCTTCCCTTAACCTGCCTTCTTTTGTTATTTCTCCATTGGCTTAAACTAAGTTCTGAAAGTGATTATGGTAGCAGAAAGAGAAAAGAAGTTGGAAGTTCAGGACTTTGGGATTTTATTCTATATTGTCAGTGCCACAAGACTAGGGGGCCAAAGATCACAGATACAGGAATCTAGAACTCTTGATTGCTTCTTGCTTGATATGGGACAGAAGAAATGAGATAGAAGAAAAGGTGGCAGTGGGCAGAACAGGTAAGAATGACAATGTTGTGACAGATTTCAGAAATCTGGAATGTAGACTCTAGACAGATGCTGCTGTAAATAGATCTTGCTTTGTGACTGCCTCATTCAATGATCAAAGTTACAATGGTGTTGAAAAAAAAAAGGTTTTCTGACCAATGCCTACATTTATGACTTTTAATATCCTGTATGACGATTGCCATTATGGTAACATGTTGTCCTGTGCCTGACCTCTCGTTTTTCCCTCCTCACTGCCGAAGCCATTTGAAATGCAGAGAGACTGGAAAGGAAGGGATTGTGAAAGAATAAGCAGGTATACCATGGGCCTGTTGCTGTTTGGGTAGCAACTCAGGGCTGCCACACCAGACAATTGTACCCATTTATTCCTTGAAATACTTTCCTTTCCAACAAATGTAAATACAACCATTACTTCCCTTTTTGCTAATTATCCCAGAGCCAGGAGCTTCCAAAGGGCAGAGGAGGGAGGAGGGGAAGGAAAGTACAGTCACATGATTTCCCAATTAGCAACCACTTCGCTTAATGATAAAACCGCAGATCCCAATGAGGATTACTGTACTGTGAAAAACCAAAATGATGAACTATAAAATAGAACTAGTCAGCTAGACCAGGCAGAATAGGAGCAAGTTCTGACAGGGCTTCAGTTTTGCAACTGTGCAGCTCTGATAGCTTGCACACAGAATTGCCTTATGTGCAAAGTTAATACACTTAAAGAAAGTTTAATTATTCCAGTAGCTATTGATATATTACATTATGATGATCAGTATTATCAATATTCTGAAGGGGCCTGCCTAATTTATTATTTTAGGGAGTCATGGCATCATAAACATTAAATTATGCAAATATATTTATTTAAGTATTATCGCAAGGCTCTTTGGAAGCATAACAGTACATTGAGATAAATATTTGAATTCTAAATGAGCTAATGTATTGAATATGATAATAATAAAAAATGATAGTATGAAATGTGGGACTTCCCCCCTTTTCGAATTCTGAGTGTGTCTGCTATAATAGCTTCTACAGAACTCTTAGCAGTGTAAAACCAAACTTAGTGCTTTCTTAATCACACCCATCAGAACAGAAGAATGAAGCAGTATGTTCTGTAACACTTAAACATTAACAGCCCTAATGAAGATGATGCAATTGCTATCAATAAGGCAGTACCACAAATACATGGCATGGAACAATCAACATTGCTTGCAGACACATATATTACTAACAGCCATAACATACATTGTGGCTTAAACACTCTTCAAACAACTAGGTGTGTATTTAAAGGCCCATTATAACATGCTCAGAGGAGTTCAGTAGATATCTTGGCATTAATATAATGCTTTCTCTAGAAATCATTGAATAGTCTTAAATTACATTTAAGATGACTAATATTACATGTAATATTAAATTTAATAAAACTAATCTTCCTAATATGATTGTTGCAAGAAATCTAAGAAACATGAAAATTATGGCCACATTAAGAGCTATATAAACATTTTTTTAAAATAAAAAATTATACAATTCTTTCTAAATTTCTTCTATATAAATTTCTCAACTTTCCAAAACCAAAATCCCTACCTCTTCTTTGATATTTTTCTCAATAATTTGCAAGGGCTATTTGAAATATTTGTATTAGTTAAACTTCAGGACACTTCATTGTTAATTATAAAGGTTTCCCTTATCTGAATGCTTTTTGACAACTGATAATAATTTTTTAACAAATGCTTTGGCTGCTCTTCCAAGTTGAAGAAGTCTCTTGATGTCTCACTTTCTAATATTTCTTGGAAAATAATCAGATCCCATTATTTATTAGTTTTTCAAAGGAAAAATGTACAGTAATATTTCAATAAAGTGCTATATTTGAACAATTGCATAAATGATCGTCAATCTTCCAATTCATGCCTTGGTGTCTGCCTAGTTCACTGGTCACTGATCTTAGATTTTGGCTGGAGATCAGTGCTCTACAACTGTACATTAATGAGAATGCTACACTGGTGAATAAAACTGAAGGTCTGAAGCAACTACTTTTTCCTGTGCTAAATGACCCAGAACTGTCTACATTTCAGAAATTAAGTATCTTGGATACAGACTTCCAACATTAGTTAAAAGACAACTGGAGAGATTCTCTTATAAAATTAGATTTCACACTATATTTGGAGAGTCCAAATGCTAGGAAGATTCAGTATAAGTTATTTAGAGAAGCATTAAATATATAGAAATTACAGAGAAGGAACAATTATATCGTATATATCAAAGCATAAAGACCAAGTAGCACTAAATGAGAGCACTGTAAGAAAGCACATTGGAGACAACTAAACATAAACAGCTTGTTGAAATGGGTGCCTACAAAAAAAAACATGTTATTTTGATGTTTAGTAATATAGTACTTATGGGCACATTTGTACCAGGCCACCAGTCCCCCATGTTTCCTCTATCAGGGGAGTGATATATGTTATTCTGAACTGTTTTTGTTTGCAGCAGTTTTTAAATGGATTTACATTGAAATGGGATTTACATAGAGCTAGGGCTGTTTTATGTAATTTCTAGTACCATGTTCTTAGAAAAATGTGTGCATGGTTCACTTTAGTAGAATCAGCCTGAAATATTTCCAAGGTAAGAAAACAGACATCTTTCACTGCAGTGTGGTTAAATAATAAACAAAAGTCAATTTTGGGCTAATTTTTTCAAAAAATTTATTGATCTTTTTCTTAGTACAAAGCTTTAGCATTAGTAAATTATGCAAACAAAATGTACTAACAGATTCTTGTTACATTATCAAAAAATGATCATAGAAATAAGTGCTTTCTTCCTGCAGCAGCTGATTAGATTGTATCTTCAATACCATTCGGCTCTGTAAGAAAGTAAGAAAAAACATAGAATATTAGTAATAATATTGTACTGCTTTACTAACTGTGAAATTTTCAAAAACAGTTATAAGCAGGGTATTCTGAGACAACAAACAGTACTTTCAAGTCAATGGGAAGGAAGACAATCCTATTCTATTCTGTAAATACAAACCTACAGACATTAGGACTTAGATATAAAAAGCAGCTTCAGAAGATAATTATACAAGTAATGAATTTTATTTATCACTTTTTAAATTCAACATATGGATAATTTCTCCCAAAGTATGAATTCTGTTATGAAACCCTCCTAGGAAGAGTGAATGCAATGTAGATGATTGCCCCATTTCTATGTTGTGTCATCCTATCAAAATACAGTCTCCTATGTGTACGAAATTGAAGATGGGGATATAAAAATAATCTATACCCTATTTTGAATATGTCATTGTAAGATCATAAAATCTTGGTGAAATTAAATATTATTTTACAACTTTTTATTAGTTACAAGGAAGTATTATGTGAAACTGATAGACTTCTAATTGGATAAGATCAAATGATGTATTCACATTAGTGGAAATTTTTTAATCAAAGAAAATGATACAAGAGATACAATTCTGTTTCTTCAGCAAAACTGAAAGGTATATGGAAAGTTGCATTATTCATTTCTAATTTAATATATGTTAATACTTATTGCCATACAATTAATATTGAAGTTGTTTATTATAAAAACAAAAACACAATTCTAAAACTAAGAATAGTTACTATAAATACTATTCATTACAAAGTATACAGAAAGGAGTGAAAAAAGAAAAACATCTATGACATTTGCTAAAGTAAAGCCTATGACAGACAGCATCATATAAATTGGGAAGGAATAATTCTAGAGAGCAGGTGCTACTACAGAAAAGACAGTTATGAGTAACTGTAGATTGCAGAACTTAGAGAAGACCTTTTTAAAGGATTTTAGTGTTCACCAACTATAATGATAGAGACAATTTGCAAGATAACATACGGTTGGGTTTTCTAAATAGCAATAGGAAACTAGTAAATCTGGTTTGCTAATTTGCAGCAGAGATGAAATATGTATTTGTAGTACTTGTCAAAATAATTATATTGCATGATCACCAAATTTGGTAATTAGTGGCTGAAACTTAAAAATGAAAATGTACTAGCCTAGATAAATCAATTCTAATTTTTTACCAGAAATTTTACTGGACTATTTCTAAGACTACCTAATGAAAAAGTTCCCACTTTTTTAAAAAAGGATAGTTTGTAAAGGAAAACTTGTTAAAAAACATTTCCCATTCTCTGTTCATGTATTTTATTAAATGTAGAGATACTATGTGAACAAGCCTTCGATTAACTGGAAAGTAGACTTCTGTAAGTAGATTGGGAATAGGATCAGGGGAAAGATGTTAGTGCATGTCCAACTGGAATAAAAATGCTGAATAAAATGTTGTCCTTGCTACTTTTTCATACTTTTTATGGGTTTTCTGATAGATTATTTCTTTTGCTAGTATAATGATAAATAAAACTCTGTTAGCTTCCCCTGGAGCAAAACAGGCACTCACATGTTCTCCCTCTCCCAGACTATTGTATTTGCAACTTATCCTTGATGCTAAGCATGATAATACTGAACTGTCTGCTCTGAACTAAAACTGAAGTGTGTTTGTATACCCAACTTAAATGGTAGGAAAATACTCTTTGGCTTAACATGCCAATTTACCTACATCATCTACCTGATGCTTCTTTGCAAATCTGTCATGCACACAAATGTGACAATTTGTACAATTACTTACTCGTTAGCATTTAAGCTTGCAGTGGCTTTGATGATCATGTAGCAGAGTGTCAGGGCACTTAGGAGGCCAAAGCTGGCAATAATAAACCATTCTTCTGTTGACAAAGGAAAGGGAGGAAATCACTCGTGGAAGGCATATGTCGATGAAAACACAGCCCTCAAAGATCAGAAGCAGAAGATAAACATTCTAGTCATGAAGCATCAGGAAGTGAAGCTCCAGAGGAAAGCAGAAGTTTAGCAATGGAAGATACTGGGTGGAGAAGGGCAGCCAAAAAGTTATGAGGAAAAGTGAAAAAAGTAGACAGTATACTTGTGGACTGGTTAGCAGACCCAAACAATTAGTTATAAATGACTTGCTTAAATCAAATGCAAAGTAAGGAAAGCAGAAGCAAAAGTTTTACCTGCAATTAAAGATTGACAAAATTTATAAATTTCCAAATAAGTATTTAGGAGCATACACACATGACATGGAACCTGTAAATGTTGTTTGTTTACTTTTTAAAGGCAGAATTTCATGTAGAAACAATAATAACGCCCAAAATAAAGCAAAATTTTAGCCAAATGCAGTGCAATTTTACAAAATATTAACTGTATAACATTTTTAACTGGCTGGTACATGGTTAGCTGACCATATTTAAAAAGCAAAACCTGAAAGCTTTCAAATAGAAATAAAATGCTTCATGTTTTTAATTATTGTTATCTCTATGTCTGCATGACCAGGGTAACAAACAAAATACTGAAACAGATCACTATGGTTGCTTTTAAACGTGTGTTTTGATGAACTGCTTTTGACCACTGAGATTTGACCTACATTTTACAATACAAATTTATTCCATTTCTACATTTAAAAAAATCAGAAAATGGTGCATTATTTTCTAAGTATAATATAAACATGCAAAACATTTTCAAAAATAACTTGACTCTTCAATCTGAATTTAGCCCTGTCATGATTATCATATCCCTATCCATGATTATAGAACTGAGACTGTAGAAAGTATAAGCCTGTACTTTCAAGTTAGATATTGACCTTGAAAAAATGATGTGAAAAGACAAAAATAAATAAGTAAAGTAAATAAGTAAACAAATAAATAAGACTTATAATACCATAAGGAAAGCTTTCCAGCACTACATATCATATTTTTATAGAGATCTTCTATGACAAAGATTTTTGTAACCCGTTTGCAATAAATATGGATACATTAGAAGCAATACTTCCCTTCTCAAATTACTTAGTTTCAACAAATGAAATACATCCAATTAGTAAAATACTACAGCTGTGTTAAAGGTTAAATTTATATATAATTTGAGCAGCTCTCTAGGTTGATGTGACTTTTTGAATCAGTCTGAATTGGAGACTAATCAAAGCTGATCTCTACACTTGTGTAAAATATGTCAAAACTCACAAACTTGCCTAGCAAGAACCACAAGGATCTTTAAGATATACTACACACTCATTGAAAACTGCACTTTTAATTGGTAAACTGAAACAGAAGCTATGTGTTACTGCTAAACTCATAAAATATTTTGAACTATCAGAAAGTAGAATGAATGGTCTTACTAAATAGTTGCTGTAAAGGAAAAGGCTTAGGGAAAAAAACCCATAATTTTTCAGAAGGCAAAATATTACCACTTCTATTATCATTAATTTATTAGCCTGTTGAGGAATATAAAAAGTAACTTAGAGAAGAAATTATGTACAAGGATAACTGGGTCCTGAGCATCAAATCATCCCATCATGCAAAATACTTTTTTTTGCAAAAAGCAAACTAGCAATGCTTTGAAAACATCAGCTCACATTAGGACAGTACAATTCAAAGAAAGAACACTCAGAGCATATAGATAATATTTTGTCAATTCTGTTGTTTGTTTTTTCTTACAAAGCTCAAAGATGTCAGCTAATCACATGAAATATCCAATCCTTGTCTCTTTCAGATATTTAAATAATCCAAAATGTGACTGACCTCAAGTTAGGGTATACAATAAATGCCCCTTTGTAGGAGTGGTATGTTCCCCCATCTTATTCTTAAGTCAATTTCCCAAGTCATACTTTCCACAGGTTTATTTCAGGGCTTGTGAATTGGCCACAATATGGTCCTAAAGTGTGCAACTGTTTTCCCCTAACAAAAACCAAAGTAGATTTTGCACAGTATGCCTCTTCCTACAGTCACTGGTCAACAATTTAGTAGAGTACCCCCACTCAATCTATTAAATCAAGTATGCAGGCAATTAGGACCTTCAAATGACGCATACGTTTGCTGCCATTTTCTCCATTCTAACATCTGCTGAGTTTATTCCAGCAATATAAAATGCTTTGGATTTAAAGGGCTTCAAACAATTTGTGATAATTTAGCACCTGTTGTTCAATAACTAGTCACTTTTTGTTGAATGAGTGGCTTCTCTGTGTATAATCAACTCTGAACTAACAAAGCCAAGACAGAGTGTCTAATGATTATGTAGCTTTAACAGTGTAACAAGAAGGTTGATTTAGATTAAAGATAGTGATATAAATATAAGAAAAGCTGACTACCAGGCAGTTCAATTAAATTAAAACACAGGTTTTGAATTAAATTAATTTAAATTAAAACACAGGTAAATTAAAACGCAGGTAAAGCTTAGGTCACACTCTTCCATTTGCAGAATCAAAATACAGATCAGAAATTAAATCTTAAGTAGAATGAAAGATGACTGAATCACTATATAGTCCAAAATGACCTCAGATCAAAAAGAAATGGATAAAGGAGGTCAGTGCCTTCTTTATCAGCGCCATTAGGAGCTCAAGATACTGACTAATTTGACTGCCAGCCAGTCAGTTTTTCTAATTACTTGTATCACTGTCTTTAAATAAGCCTTCTTGGTACACTGTTAAAGCTAGACAATCATCAAAGATGAATCTTTTTCTATTTGAATGTATTAGTTGATCAGTCACTTCAATATTAAAGAGGAATGGTGCCAGCACCTTTTCTTCTGATAAGTCATTCTACTAAATTTATGGATGGTTGGTTGTATTTGCCTCTAAGTTCTATACTAAAGTGGCAGTTTGACTGCATTTTTTGATATTTTAGATTAGTTCAAAATCCTCTGTCAAACTGTACAACTTGCAAAGTAACATGTGATGATTAACAGGAAGATATGCTGCCAAGAGATCCAAAACTGCATGCATGATTTGGCATAGGAGTGAGTTTAAGCTCTTTGGACCTGAAGAACCTTTGCCCAGTTTCAACAATGCTACAATACTGATTGTTTCCATATCTTGCATATTTGTTTCTGAACCGTTCCGGCAACTATTTTATGATGCCCAATCCAAGATATTTGCTCAATTTGCAGATACTTATGGCCAGAACATTTGTAAGATTTCACATATTTCTTGGAATTTGCTACTTCTACCACTTAAAATACTCATTTGATTCATAATTCTTGCAATTTTTCTGTAGTCTATTTGGAGAGTTGCCATTTAGGGGCAAGTAGTAGTATGTCAATTCATTTGGCTGTTATGTTATAATATTGTTCCATCTTTTGGGGGTCTTTCTAATTGTACTCCAAACTTTCTTCTAGTTGGTCATGTTGGTATTCTCAATTCCCTCCAAATGCTAAATCTTTTTAATCAGCATGGCTGTAAGCTTATTGCCTATAGAAGGAGTATCTTCTGGTATTGTATACTTTGAAATAGTTATCTATAATGGGGTGAGCATAATGTAAGATCATGAGAATAACGGTACCACAGCCTCTTGAGAGCCAAAGTTTAATATTTTTCTGAGCCAGATCTTAGATCTGTTATTGCTATGTCAAGACCAGTGGTGAAATATTTTCAGTTCTTTTTGAAACTGAACTGATATTGAGAAATTCAAAAACTGTGGAGTCTTTACTGGATGAATCTGAACAGCAGATTCATCCAATAAAAATTCATATTGGGAATGGGGAACTGGGTCTAAAACATATTACTGTTAACTGATGAAATATTACTGCCGACAAATTCAGATCATAGTGTTATCATACTGCTGACACAGATACCTCTGCAATAGTGTTGAATATTTGTAGCTCATGTGTAGGATGAGGGTAAAGTTCTCCGAGCACGTAGTTTGGTTTCTGAATATTATGTTACCAGGCTAGGTAACATCTTCAGCAGAGTTTAGGGGATGTCAGTGTCAGCGTTCTGTTTATAACAGCTTCAGGTATGGGTGTGGTTAAGTGAGGGTCTTGTGGCAAGACACACTGATGACTCATAGCTGACCCATCACAAGACTGTCACAAGACCCTCATTTGACATACCCATACCTGAAGCTCTTATAAACAGAACACTGACATTGACATCTCCTAAATTCTGCTGAAGATGTTACCTAGCTGGTAATGAAACATTCGGAAACCAATGCACAACTCAGACCACGAACCTTTATCCTCATAGATACCTGTGCTATGTGAGTAATTCTCGATCCTCAACTGTTGCTCAATTTAAAAATTGCAACTATAGTGAGGAGAATTTTCCCTCAATTGTGCCTGTTGTGCAGTAGCATCCCTTTCTGTCTATGACAGATATCACATTTGGATTCATTTTATCTTGACTACTGCAATCCATTGTATATAGGCCTACCCTTGAAAATGGTCTTAAAGTTGCAATTAGTACAAAATGTGGTAACTAAGTTTTTAATTGGTACAAGATACAGAGATAATATACTGAAAGATTTGTTTCCTGGGCACCTCCTAAGAAGCTGGTATTGACTTTCCAATAACCTATTGGTCAGTAACATCAAGATGCCAGGTCTTTCTGAAGAAGTCCTACAGCCAGAGGCTTGACTTTCTAACCCAGGGGCAAAGATTTTTCTTTTTTGTGTTGTTCTCAACCTACATTCCATTGGGATATCTGGCCTCTACTTCCTTGGCATTTAGGAATTCTGTAAATATGAACCTCTTCTGCCATACTTCTATTTAATTAATTAAATTATATTTTAATGGTAATTTAAACTTATTCTCTTAAATTGTTTACTTCTGCTTTTTATTTTTAAAATGTTGGAAGCCAATTTGACCTTTTACCAGTAAAGTTGAGGTAAAACTGCATGATAAATGTTTGTTTGCTTTGATTATTCCCCAAGATCACCTCCCTCAGTTTATCTTTCTCTTTTCCCCCCTATGCTGTTCAGCATTCATCAAATAAACTTTGCATCATCTGGTGTTCATGTGGATCCTAGACCCAGAAATAAATATGGGGCTGGAACTTTATTTTCCAGTACACTAATCTCCCATTTTTAACTCTAAAACGTTAAAAGATATGGTACAGAAAGCCTGGAAAGCACCACCATTTATATCAAGGCTATCTTCACAAATTGTTTAGTCTTTCAAAGCCCAAGGTGGCAAAACACGACATGCCAGATAAAATTGAACTTCAGATTCCATCAGGTCTAGCAAGTAAGGCCAATGACGAGGCATGATTCACTCCAACGACATTTGGAAAATGACACTCTGCTTTCTCTTGATTTAAACGATAGGTCCTCTTTAATAGTATGCAACAATTATTATATTTTGTGAGAAATGTTTTTAAGTTCAATATTTTGAGGTTGGTCCTATTCAGATTTACTGTAACTTTGATCACAAAAAAATCATATTTTCCTTAATTCAGTAGATTCTATAAAATTATGTCTATTATATTAAAGAGAAACAAGTCTAAAGCAACACATGATTAATGATTCTAATATTAAAGGCTAGTTTTACTTACTAGTTACAGCAATGTTGATCTCGCCTGTCCTTGGAGTTAGCTCTCCATCCTGTGGAAATTGTGATATACCAGAAGTACGTAGGGGCTCAAGAGTGAGTGAGCTGTCACTGCTAAGGTCACCAAGTACTGATCTCCTGTTACCTAGCTGGCCTCTGGTTAGTCTTTCCATGTCAAAGGCCATATTGTCAGCACATGGTACATTTGTCTGAAAGTAAGTATTGTCATATTAATGTATACCATTTTTACACTGCTAGCAAAATTATACGTTCATGACATAGTATCATGAAATTTTAAACATAAATATCAACACCAAATGGAGATCAATTATTCCAAGCAAATCCCATCCATTAAGAATTTGGTTCAAAATATTATCAAATTGAGCACCTCCCTCCAATGTTTTATTCCCAGTTATGTGCATGTCTTTCTTCATTATACAATCTATTAATTAATCAAACTATTTTACAGGTCACAAACCCAGCAGTATATAAACAAAATAACCAATGAAGTAGGTATCATTGCATTCTCTTCAACTTTATTCAGAATCTCTCTTCCCCTCCTCACCAATAGAGATGGACATCTTCCAAGTAGAGTTATGCTTTAATCTGGTAAGGTCATAATGTTACCAAGGAAAGAAATTCAGCCCATGTTTTTTTTAATCTGGGAGGTTTAAAAATCCAAGTCAGATTTGATTTCTTTAATCTTTATTTCACTTTCTTACTTTAAAAAAAAAATTATGTCACCTGCCAGAAATTAGTAGGTGACTCCCGGTTTCAGCTACATGACTGAAAGTGCTCCATGAGCCAAAAGCCAAATTAAATTATCTTAATTTAATTTGCCCCATTTAGTTCATTTGCAGTTTTTCACAACAGTAAACACCAACACTAACCTCAGCCCACAATAAATAATTTTCATGGGTACATTAATGAAGATTGCCTTGGTTTCTACCACCAACAAACCCAGAAATAATAAATCTTTAAAGTAAGGAAATTAGATTAAAATCTGTTTTTAATGGATTAGTCTCGTTAAAATATCTTTTAATAGAATACATTTGCTTTGTGAAATAGGTATCTTACAGAAGACAGCAATTACTTATGGGTTACTTTATGTCAAGGTAATTAAGTTTTATTTTGGCTTTTTCATGACTAAGGGTTTTGGCAGAAAATGTCAAGTTGTAACTAATAAAAACAACCCTGAATAATGAAAGTTTTTTTTGAGTTATTAGTTCCAAATGTACTCATGGCTGTTTCATGCAATCAATTAACACACCTTGGAACGTCTGTCTCTTGTTAGATGAATTTGTGAGGTATTTTAGAATGCATACTTCAACAATATTAACTGTTTATGTACAACTTCAACTCACCACAATTCCCAAGGCCTTCAAAATATTCAGTTTACACATAGGACAGGTACAGTGCTCACTTAGCCATGGATCTACACAGGTCTTATGGAAAACATGCCTAAAAATAAATTGGAATAACTGTAAACCATCAATATATGGCAAAGGTTTTAATATTATTGATTAGCATTCTGAATAATTTGGCTGTGAGCTTTAATAAACTGACATTTGTACTTTAAACTATATTACCATTTCCTTAGTATATACATTATAATTGAAACTTACGCATTGCATATTTCAAATACACTGCTCAAAAAAAATAAAGGGAACACAAAAATAAGACATCCTAGATCTGAATGAATGAAATATTCTTATTAAATACTTTGTTCATTACATAGTTGAATGTGCTGACAACAAAATCACACAAAAATTATCAATGGAAATCAAATTTAGCAACCCATGGAGGTCTGGATTTGGAGTTACACTCAAAATTAAAGTGGAAAAAAATATGTCAGGCTGATCCAACTTTGATGTAATGTCCTTAAAACAAGTCAAAATGAGGCTCAGTAGTGTGTGTGGCCTCCACGTGCCTGTATGACCTCCCTACAACGCCTGGGCATGCTCCTGATGAGGTGGCGGATGGTCTCCTAAGGGATCTCCTCCCACACTTGGACTAAAGCATCCCCCAACTCCTGGACAGTCTGTGGTGCAACGTGGCGTTGGTGGACGGAGCGAGACATGATGTCCTAGATGTGCTCAATTGGATTCAGGTCTGGGGAACAGGCGGGCCAGTCCATAGCATCAATGCCTTTGGCTTGCAAGAACTGCTGACACACTCCAGCCACAAGAGGACACAATGTAAGCATTTTCTTGCATTAGGAGGAATCCAGGGCCAACCGCACCAGCATATGGTCTCACAAGGGGTCTGAGGATCTCATCTTGGTACTAATGGCAGTCAGGCTACCTCTGTGCGGTCCCTTAAAGAAATGCCACCCCACGCCATTACTGACCAACTACCAAACCGGTCATGCTGGAGGATGTTGCAGGCAGAACATTCTCCATGGTGTCTCCAGACCCTGTCACGTCTGTCACATGTGCTCAGTGTGAACCTGCTTTCATCTGTGAAGAGCACAGGACGCCAGTGGCGAATTTGCCAATCTTGGTGTTCTCTGGCAAATGCCAAACGTCCTGCACGGTGTTGAGCTGTAAGCACAACCCCCACCTGTGGACGTCGGGCCCTCATACCACCCTCATGGAGTCTGTTTCTGACTGTTTGAGCAGCCACATGCACATTTGTGGCCCGCTGGAGGTCATTTTGCAGGGATCTGGCAGTGCTCCCCCTGTCTCCCCTTGCAGAAAGGCAGAGGTAGTGTCCTGATGCTGGGTTGTTGCCCTCCTACGGCCTCCTCCATGTCTCCTGATGTACTGGCCTGTCTCCTGGTAGCGCCTCCATGCTCTGGACACTACGCTGACAGACACAGCAAACCTTCTTGCCACAGCTCACATTGATGTGCCATCCTGGATGAGCTGCACTACCTGAGCCCCTTGTGTGGGTTGTAGACTCCATCTCATGCTACCACTAGAGTGAAAGCACCGCCAACATTCAAAAGTGACCAAACCATAAGCCAGAAAGCATAGGAACCGAGAAGTGGTCTGTGGTCACCACCTGCAGAACCACTCTTTTATTGGGGATGTCTTGCTAACTGCCTATGCTTTCCACCTGTTATCTATTCCATTTGCACAACAGCATGTGAAATTGATTGTCAATCAGTGTTGCTACCTAAGTGGACAGTTTGATTTCACAGAAGTGTGATTGACTTGGAGTTACATTGTGTTGTTTAAGTGTTCCCTTTATTTTTTTTGAGCAGTGTATTTTTTTTGCTTCTATTGTTATTTTTCAGAAAGAAAAAAGTGAACATGAAAAAAGAAGGAAGTAAATGAGCCAATATCTGGCTATGTAAGGCTTATTAATGAAAAATATCTCACAGATGTAAATACAAGTTGTTCCTTCTTTCATACTGCCCAAAATATGTATGGCAATATATAATAATTTATTTGGCTCTATCTTATATTTTTTTTCCTGCCTTATCTTTAGGCAATAAACCCATTATTAGATTGCCTCATTCAATTTCTTTCTTTCATACTGTCTTACTCACACTGAATAAGAAGGAACCATGTGACATAAATTTAAATGAAGTACAATACGCTTGTTCCTGGATTTTTATCTACACTAATTCTGTAGATACCTATTTGCTTTATTTTGGGAAACGATTTTGAGACTGTTCTTCAATGCCCTATTTTAATCATTTAAATGTCATTTCACAATATGGATTTTCCATTCAATTCCCAGTCTGATCCGATCAAAGGTACCATGGAGTTCCACTTAAAGAAAACTGTATATCTGTGGTGCACCAGTTGTTGAAGACATTGCACCAGTTGTTAGAAGATTATATCCTTTTGGATTGCAAAATATATTCTGCAGAAAGGACCTTTTACTTTGATTCTTATTTAAAAATGAAAAAAAGCCTGGGGCACCCTGGAGAAATGGTTCTTACTTTTTGCAGGGAATGAACCTGTATATCATTAGCAAGATTTCTTCTGTTTAACTAAAATAAAGCCAAGGTCTAAGAAAAGAAACTTGCGCAAACAGATTTAAAATATCCTGTTTGCATTGCATCTATCAGCAGTTAAAAATCAGCCATCTAAATGCAAGACTGTATTAGTAAAGTATATTTGCTATTGTAAACTATTGCAGCTTTTAGGGTACACAGGACTATTTTTGCTTGCCTTACATGGGAAAGTTAGCTCCTTTTATTCTTTAATTATTATTTATTTAAATGTATTGGCCGCCTAACTCTAGCGGACTGTGGTTGGTGTACTAAAGTGGAACCCACTCCCCAATAAAAAACAACTATTCTAAATATTCTAAAAGTGCAAGATAGAAGAATGAAAAAGAAATGTAAAAAAACAATTATTATTATCTGGATAAAATAGTCAACCTTGCATATTTGATAAGTCTCTATAAAGTTGAAAGCTCAAGCCTAACAGTAAATTGGGACTGGAATAACAATGGAAGGAATGATATATGAAAGATGATTACAAACTTGAACAGAATATAAGCCTATATATATAGGAGAATATTTGTAGCTCAGGTTTGAAATGGAAGGGGGGGGGAGTCTTGGTGCTCTCTGAGCTTGTTTTCTTGCAGATGTTTCATTACCCATTATCAGTGCACTGATGAAAATAGTCATGCTCATCAGAAAGAAAATCATAACTAAAGCTAAGGATTTCTAATGACAGGAGTAGTAAAACCACTTTAAAATGCAATTAATTTATTTTGAAGAATAAAAGAACTAGAAACTATTGGCTTACTTGCATGGTAGAATGCGTACAACATCATTTTGCTTATAGCTTTCAATGCAAACAGCGCAGTGATCAAAGTCTGGATCTGTTTCCTAAAATGAACAGTGAAAATTCCAATAAGATCCATCTACAGCAGAATACTTATAGCAAGCAGCCATAGAATAGTTTTAGCCCTGACTATATTTATCTATTTATTAGATTTCTACCCCACCTTTCTTCCAAAAGCTCAAAGGAGCTTGTTTTAGAATCTCTGATTTTTATCCCCGTATCAGATTTTGCCAGGCATAGCTACAAAGTGTTTAGATAGTTTCACATACATTAACAGAAGAAGCTTCATAGCCTTTAACATGGCTAGGTTAGATTCTTTATTGCAAGTAGGAAAAATGTCTTACATATGCAGAAAATCTGTCTAATGAAGAACACAGGAGGAAGCCCTGTATGCATAAATCAGTCTCAAGGTTTAAATCCGAGACCTTTTCCTTCCTCCTTTTTGAAACCTGAGCAGCAGCAACTACCCATTTCAGGCTTACATATCAGTTTTCTTTTGCCTGAAATTGCTGAGTCCTGCCTACTTCAGTTTTTCCATCCTGAGCGCCCAAATATGACATACAGAGATCATAACAATAAATCATACAACAATGATTTTATTTAATACAATCTGAATTAACCGTCATCTTAATATTAAGGGGAAGTACTTCTCACACAAAATTGAAACATTAGTTGCAGACCCCTTACGAAAGTTCCAATGATGCAACTACTGCAGTAGTAAAAAGGAACACATGTCCTTAAAAGCTGGGTTGTTCAAATACTTCCTGTTGCCCAATTGGGGTGTAACCATAAATGTCTTTCCTGAGTTATAAAATTTATCAGTAGGACTGTACAAATATTAGGACTCAAGAAAGGATTTCCCATTTAACGTATAAACAAATTGCCTTGTTTATGTGTTAAATGGGAAACCCTTTCTTTGACAAACTAATAGCTATGTGTTACTGCCCATATCTATCTGGAAATCATGTTTCTAAAACCATGATCATTTTATGATTTCAGGACCTTTATTTTATATTACAATCTTCAATTGTGGCATACATAATGTGCATACTTTTTCCACTTAATATAAGAACAAAGCCCCTTCCCCTAAATGCTGTAAAATTAGCAATCTCAGTGTTGCAAACAGGCAACAACTATTTAATACTCTGAATCTTGACTGTTAATACTGATGAATGGCAGATATATTCTACATGCCTGCCAACAATAAGCACATCTGCTGCTGCTTCCTGCATTATAATCTTGATGTCTTTTTACCTTGGATTTACCTCTTTTGTTAAGAGAATTCCAAAGCACGAATTAGCACATTTTTGCTACTAAATTTTCTCTTTTATATAGGGGCTAAAGGACAAGGAAGTTTTTGACAATAACAAAATCTAGAACTGATTTGCATACACAGAGAAGCCTTATTTATTTATTTTTCTAGAAAAACAGCATCGGATCAAAGCCTGATATGCTTCCTGATCATTTCCTGGCAATCTTGTATATGACACATAAAAAATAGAGGCATTACAAAAGGCAATCAGTAAATAAAAAATATGATTGGTAATAAAGTATAAAATAGTTTAATATCAATTACCATAAAAATTATTTCAAAATTACCTTAATCATGTATTATTTTTGTGCCCACCTTTCCATCAGGAATGCAAGGCACTTGGTGAACTTCCATGGCTGAGGATAAACTTGAACCTGACTCTCCCCAATGCCAGTCTAATATCTTAATCACTATACAACTTTGCTCCCACAAATCAGCAGGAGCAAATGGGTTTATGAAAATTTAAAATAATATTTCTGGCTGTAAAGGACACAACTAAGGCAATAGGCTAGGAAAAATATACATAAACAGAGGAGATGCACTGACAACAGCTCTGTGAATAATTACCGAAAATGAAAAACAGACCAATCCCTGTAGTGAAGTAAATAAATTGGAAAGAAGACAGAGCTAAAGGCTAATGACAGATTTTCTAATAAAGTAACAGAGTGATACCTTATCACCTTTCTTTACAGTTCTTGCTGTTAGTTTACCAACAGCTTTTTTGGCAGCATCTCCAAGACGACGCTTTGAAAAAAAAGAGAAAACACCGGAGTGATTAAGCATTACAAAAATTGCACTTCTTACATTTGCTTTGATGCTTACTCTAGATGGTACTTTACAATTTTTCACTTATTCTACCTATCTATCCACATGCAGAGACACATTCTAGTGGGATCTGGGAATAGTATGTGCACAACAAGAATATTTTTGTAATTAAAATCTCTTTAACCAAAAACACGAATCACCTATTTTATTGGAATCCAAATTAGTAAGAAATGTAGACTCCTGTCTGCAACATAGTCCCCAATATGCCATTAAAATACAAGTCGAAGGAAAGATGCAGTTAGTCTATTACTATATATAATGAAGACTCATATAATATACTTGAAACACAAAAAAAATGAAGAAGTTGGGAGGAGAGCGAGCATTTGTTGTTATTTAGCTGTGATCTAAACTGTTCCTTGTTTCATTTAGGACTAATCTTTCTGTGAAGACCTTTTCAACTTGTTAAATCTTTCTCTAAAACCTTTCCCTTAAAAAAATTAAACCCAATTTTACTAATCTTTAAATTTTAGTATTTGCATTGTTGTATCTTGATTATAACTGATATTTTTTATGCCATGTCAGTCTGGTCCTAGTTAGTTATGGTTGCATCTATTCCATATAGGTAGTATTTTTAAATCTGTGAACCTCAGTGAAGGAATTATTTTGTGTGACCATTACATGCATTGTGTTTGTGTGTATCAGCTACATGCAACCAGAGCAGTAACAACCGTTTTCTCCTTTAAAACAGCTAAACATTTTGAACTGTTCTTTAGCTGTAGGTATTTCCTCATGAAAGTTTAATAAGACAAGCTTTCTAACCACATAAAATTTTCATTAAGTTTCTTCAACCTTCATAAAATACTGGAGAAAGAAAAGGTCTTAAGTTTTTAATTTACAGAATAGATATTTGATATGGATATCACAAATGCAGAATGCTGTATTTATGGGATCACTGCATTCCAAGTGCTTACATGCTACATTTTTTCAAATGGCAAAGAGATGATGAAAAAATCGTGATAAAAGTTTGAAAAAAGAAATAATTAAACACTATGAACATAGATATTTTAAAGTCAGACAAATTGACTTTGTCCTTATTGGAATGTGTAATATAAATAAGATGAAAAACAGTATAGTACCTGACTTCCCATACCTTCCCACTAACATTGTCAAAGCATGAACATTTGAATATACTGGCAAAATCTAGAGAATATTTTGTATCGTATAATGACCAGAAATACTTTTTAAAATGTCTTTCTAATCCATTCTATTTTTGAAATCTCTGCATACAAATATATATATATTTGTAACAATATTATTTAAAAGGACCTGACATTGGAACAACATGGAAGTTTTAGCATCAGCTGGAAGAAATAGAACAATATTATTTGATACTTCCTTTCAGAAGTATTTCCATGATATAATATATTGCTATCATGGGATAGCAATAAATCAGTTAAACTGTATTTATTGAAACTTTGTATTACTGCTATTGCTTTTAGCAGATTTAAGTCTAACATATTGTGCACCCTTACTTAGAGATATAACCCTTGTTACTTTAATTATATTCTCTTTATTTCCCATTTCAATAAAAATTTTCTGAAAATATTACCAGTTTAATATTCCCCTTTAAGACACACTTCTTGTAGCTAACCCATCACAGCTGCAAGTCAATAAATCCTGTCAGAAAGTGATTATTTTAAGATCCTGATTATTTTTAGGTAATTACACACTCAAATTACACATGTTGTAATTGAAGAGGAGATACCAAAGGCATAAGTATGTGAAGTTTATGAAATATGAGACTCGTATACTACCAGTTTCCCCATTTGCTTTAATTAATATCTGAAGGATTTCTAACTTCATGAATTCTGATGTTGAAAGTTAGGCGTTATTTATTAATTTAATTCATTTATTTGCTGCCTGTCATAGGACTGCTCTAGGCATCTTATAAAAATAAAAAGGAAGAAGTGAAAAGAGTGTGAACAAAAGTAAAATAATATAATAAAATAAACAATGAAAAATAACATGAGAAATGGAACTATATGATTATAGGCTGCTTTGTATGCCAAACAAGGGAACTTCAATAACCAATATTCAAACTAAATATATCTGCAATGATTGCTCAGGGAATGGGAGAAAGTAGGGAAAACCTATTTTGGTGCTAATTACTGGCAGAAGCTCTGGATTAGACAACTAATACCAAAGGAGACTTTCTCCACATAAAAAAGAAGCTCTTTGGCCAGGAGCGGGATTCAAATTTTTTAACAACTGGTTCTGTGGGCATGGCTAAGTTGGTGGGCATGTTATTGGCTGGGCGTGACCAACTCAACATCACTCACATCGAAGCACACATCTCCTCGCCTGGCCTCTCATGACTGTGGGGATGCTGCAACAGTCGTAAGTGTGAAAAATGGTCATAAGTCACTTTTTCCAGTGCCATTGTAACTTTGAATGGTCACTCCACACAAGCAAAGTACCAGCAAAGGAGGGGGAAAAAACTCCAGAGAAGTTCCTGAGACAGGAAGTCTAGTCCTGACAAGAACGTAATAAGGGTTAACAGAGAGGCAGTTTCTGTAAGCAACACCAGAATGTTTCCTTCCTGCCTTCCTTACAGGATTAGGCCAGTAATTTCTTCTAACCGGTTCTCCGAACTGCTTAGAATGTTAACAACCGCTTCTAGCAAATAGGTGTGAACTGGTAGAATCCCACCCCTGTAGCTTATATTCATTGTGGTATGACTGACAGCTAGAAAGTATCTTCCCCAACTTCCCTCCTGTGAAGGGATCCAGGAGGAAAATTGCAGTCCCCAGAATCCACTCTTCCTTCAGGACTGAAGAATTTCTTCTCCTGGCTTAAAATTCCCCTCCTGCCACAGCACTTAACTGTTATAAAGAATGCTTGGATATTTATATGTAGGCAACCAATAATGATATTGTATCCCACAAACAGTTTGAATGACAAAGCACTTTTTCTCAACCAGTAGCCTGAATTTTTTAAAATTTTTCTTCAACACTCTAAAGAATAAATGAAGTTCACATAGAGTAATCCAATTTTATGTCAATATTGTTTCTTTCTTTCCCTGCTGGTGCTCTTCAAATCTGTTAATCAAATTCCCATTATTCTCAGCTACCATGCCCTACAGAGAAGTCCTCAATTTATGTCCACAGTTGGGACCAGAATTTCCATCGCTAAGCAAGGTGTGAGTCATATCTAATTTTATGACCTTTTTTTGCCAAGGTTGTTAAACAAATCACTGCAATTGTAAAATGAATCATGTGGTTGTTAAGTGCATTTCGCTTCCCCATTGACTTTGCTTGTTGGAAGCAGGCTGGGAAGGTTGCAAATGGGCATTACATGATCCTGGGATGCTGTCCTAAATAAATGCTAATTGCCAAGTGCCCAAATTTTGACCATGTGACTATGGGGATGCTGTGACTTTTGTAACTGTGAGGACTGGCCATAAGTCACAACATATTTTGTGGGAAAATGAAATATCCAATTGGATATTCAATGTGTTGGATAGTCAATGTGTATTCAGAAAAACATGATTACTAAGCTTCAAAACTAAGGAACAAAGTTGTTGAAAAACAACAACAAAACTTTGTGTTTGTGTACAGAGAGACAGAGATCTAGATACAGTCATGAATATATATGTGCACATTTATGTGAACATATGAAAACTAGTAATTAACATTTTAGAATGGAACTGTCAGAACTAAAAGAGTTAACTCGCTTCTCTTCCCACCAATCTCAAAACACTCCTACTCTTAGTCCAATATGTTTGTGCAATGTATTTTTAGATGGAGTTCTATCAGTCATTTTATCTGAAATGCCTCAAAGTTGTAGCTGATATTGTAGAAATTTAATAGAGGAAAGCTGCATATATAGTGGCAGATCAGTGCTTGTATATAACCTTGTTTTATTCTCTTTTGTGAAATTGAATGAGTGCAGCTAACTGTTTTTGTTAAAATTCCAAGTTCAGGTCTAGCTAATATTTGGAGACCACAAGGAAATACATTATTTTCAGCTGGAGTGGAAAGTAAAAAAAAACAGAAGAAGACATGAGGAAAGCTATGAAAACCACTTTTGTATTGTTACAAAGAAAACTACAGAGATAGTCTTACATTAGAGAATTAGTTTGATGTTTGACTTGAGTTTTTAAAGTTCAACTCTAACTAAAGCAGCCATTCTAAATTCTCAGGTACCAGTGATCTTAGTATTCAAGCTCCTTTCAATTGGAGATATTCAAATTCAAATTAATTACAGTACTTTAGCATAGAGCTATATGAGATAAAAAGAAAACTAAGCAGTAGTACAGAAGAACAGATCTTTCAATATAGCTTTGATATTGCTAGCCAATACAGTATATTTACAATGTTTTAATGCCAGAGAAATGACAACTGCACTTCACATACATAAAAGTAAAGATTGCATTACAATCCTGATGCTAAATTAATCCTTAACAAATGTATTGTACTATTCAGAACAATTAACAGAATCTGTTGTTTTTAACAATGATTCTCTGTTTGTCCTTATCCATTAAAAACATCAGGTTAAAGTCCCACTCAAACCTCCTTACAATTTAATGGGTAAATATAGGAATTTCACTCTGCAAGTAGAATAGATACTTTCCATAAATAATATTTTATTATTTTATCTGCAGGGTAGGGAGACATTTTTCATGAGTATGGTAATGCTATTCTTTAAAAAACCCTTTAAAAGTAGCCCTTCAGAGTAAAGATTTTTTTTGCTGAACAACAATAATACATAGTTACTATGATTGAGTGCGCATCTTATATAATATTCTTACATTCACTTAGTTGCAACTCCTAGGATTAATTTCATTCTTTTTACTAGAAACCGAGGCTTTTTTATGACATTAAAAACAAAATGGAAAAATAGCTCACCTAAGTAGATCTTTTAAAGTTAATACATTTCCTGCCACAAAAGCATTATTTTTGTTTTATAAATTAAAAGAAACCTAAACATTCAGCAAAGCCCCTTTTGCATTCTTAGTATACATATATATTTTTATCAAGGCATTACCGCTAGATAAAACTTCAAATTCTTTATGATTAGAATGATTACCTGGTTTCGATCACGTGCACTGGTATATCTGATCTTCTGAATGAAATAAAATATTAGCCATGCTGAAGAAATTATCATCAAAACTATAAATGATACGGATACAAAGACAAGGGAACTTCGATTAACATTTTTGCTTGGATGGCGTGTTCCCACGGCTATTGCAATTAGGACCGACATATTTTTTTCTAAATAATTCAAGATTTCTTTAACCTTCATTTCAGTGATCATGACCGTAACAATGTCTCCAGTTCCTACAATAAACAAATAAATATACAGGAGAAACCATTTGAGTGATATGCTAATGTACATTATGAATTTTTCCAACTATACATGCTATTAGAAACAAGAACTCTTATTAAATTTAGGGTCTCTAAAAAAGCTATAATTAGTAACATAAGAAACTAGGAAATAACCAAAATCTTTTAAGTAATATATTCATATATGTCACAAGTATCTCCTCAACTATAATTTTATTTCATAATGATATATGGTGTATCTTAACTGCTAATACTAGGAAAAGATGAAAAATTTAAAAATATTCATCTTCTTAGTTCTAAATTCACCATTCTTGACTCCCAGCATCTTTAGGAAATAAAAATGACCAATGTCTTCCATTTCATTCTCCAAAACGTAGAATTTACTCCAATGTAAGGCAGCACCAAAAAGAACAAATTAAATAGGAGGAATAATTTTGAAACTGCAACAATTTTAAAATATTGGCAATTTCTATGTGAACTAGACTCAGAAATTCAGGAAAATGTAAAACTGGGACAGTTAGCAGAAAAGAACATTAACTGTGGATCAAACTTTTCTTTGCTGAAAAGGCCCAATGAAATTATGCTTATAAAATATATACATTTATTGTGATATATTAGTTTGTGAAGAGCCATAAGAAAAATTCTCTTAAAAAGCCAGAATTCAAGGTCATCTGATAGCATTGACTGGAAAAAGGTTGAAGGCCAACAGCAGCAGTAATTATTAACTAATATATTTAATGATTACAAAATAAACTGACACTGTAACCACATTTAAACTTTCACTTCAAATCCTCTCCATCAAGGTAAAGCTGGGAGGAATGGGGAGAGGGGCTACCTTGGGCATTACTTGGCTCAGAATGACAACCAGTAACATTTATTTATATGATTAATCACAACCTGTAGATTTAAGTAAATAGACTTTTTAAAAAGCTCCAAATAATAGATGAAATGGACTGAGCTGAAAGGAAGGTCTGATATCTTAGTTCTTACCTTGATGAGTCATGGTAACAGGCTCGTTGCCAGATACATTGTTGTAAATTACCACAGCTGAAGCATTATGTGAAGCTGCTCGCAGAATTTTTTGTTTAAAAGTACAATTTCCTCGCTGCAACAGAGCAACCCACTGCTTTGTATTTGGAGGAACCTGAAACCTTGTTCGTGGATCACATCCTAGACGATCTGGAACTAAAAATATAGAAAACTGATTCTAATTTAATTATGCAATTTAAACAAAAGTCCTATAAATATATGTTGATAAAATATTTCTAATTACCGAACTATATCAATTAGCATAATTTCCAAAAGTCAAGGAGAATGGGGACCTGCCTCACCTCTAGGGGAGAATGTTCCGGGGTGCGGGGGGGGTAGCAGCAGAGAAGGCTCTCTTGCTGGACCCCATCAGTTAAAATTCTTTAAATGGCAGAGTCCACAACACACCCTCCTCCCTACCTGACTGGATGGGTCAGGCTGATATAAAAATGGTTCCATATGTAACCTGGCCCCATACCATCTAGGACTTTAAGGTCATATTCAATATCTTGAATTGGATCTGGCGACAAACTGGCATCCAATGCAGGCCTCAAAGCAGAGGTATTATATGCACTGTTTCTCGTTGTCCCAATGGTTGCATGATTGCATTCTGTACCAGCTAAAGTTTCTGGAACTGTTCACGGTTATTCTCACGTGGAGTGCACTGCAATAGTCCAAATGAGAGATGTCCAGGGTGTGAGTGATAAAAGGAAGAGTTCCCTATCCAGGAAAGAGTATACCTGGTGCACAACACAAAGTTGAGCAAAGGTCCTTGTAGTCATGATTGCCTCTTGCTCTCTGAGCAAGAGCTGTGAGTCCATGGCTTCACTGGGTAAGTCCGTTCCCTGAGCATCCCCACAGGCCTTGCATTGTGTTGGGCATCCAACTGGGAATGGGTCTGGGTGATTTATCCTCCAGATGCAAGGAAAATTTCTTTCTTGAATACAAATGGCTGTGAATACAAATGCACCCAGAGGCAGTTGGAAAGATCTTCCAAAACAGCCACAGAAACTTGGGAAAGGGGCATGACTGATTTAATGATTAAAAACAGGGTCTTTCTATAGTAGGATTGGGTTGGATGAAAGTTCATGAGAAAATCATGTCTAAATTGGAAAATAGAAAAGAAAAAAAAATCCCAGAAGGGAATGACTTTCATGTTGCCAACAAAACTGCCTAAATATGTCTGGTAATCCACCAGAAAGCATATACAATACATATATGACAATATTTTAACTAGTTCATACAAATGGCAGAATTATTGAAATGTTCTACAACCTTCCAACTTCAGCTGAACTTTTATGTAAAGCATTCCATATCATTAAACTTCTGATCTTCAGTTTGACTTGAATACTAATGAACCACTGCATTAGCTCTTATTGAATACAACATTGTTGTTTTTATATTAAGACCAATTTTCCAAGCTTAAGATTTTCCTAATTAATTGATTCCACTGAATGTATTATTATAAGGGTTCTTGTTTGTGTTCTTTATTGCGACACTGCTTTAATATCATATTTATAGCGCAGTGTTTCAGCCACTTGCCTACTAAATCTACAATTTAAAGAAACACAAGCTAATATTTTCTTGAAAATATACTTTGTGTTGTGAAGTCAGTAATAAAGGAAATGGAAAAACAAAAAGAAGGAAAAATATACTTATCACTCATAATGATTTCAAGGTCGTAAACTACTGTAGTTTATTAAGTTCAAAAAGATGAAGGACAGATTGAATGCCACAAAACTAATGCAACACCTTACCCACAGCACCTGATATTATACCAGAGTATACTCTTGGGATATTAACTGCATGATTTCATTCATTTATGCTATTTGAACTTCTGTTATTTGTGGCCTTAACCGATAAGCTATCTTTAGGTTTTATTGCCTGAAATAATTCTTTTCCTCTATCATCTTACATTTAAAATCCTCAATACTGGAGTTAGCATTCATTTATTCACTGAATAAAAAGAAACCAGAAAGAAGTTAATAGTGACAATAATAATAATAATAATAATAATAATAATAATAATAATAATAATAATA